TTTTAGCTTATTGGATCTTCATTTGTTTTCCTTCTGCTTCCTTTTTCTTCTTTATTTTTATTTCTGTTCCATTTTTTTCAGCTTTACGGATCTGAAAATGGAAAAAAAAATTGCTGCTGCTTATTTACTAAAAAAAAAAATAAATAAATAAAATAAAATAGAATAAAATTAAGTAAAGTGAAATGAAATAAAATAAAATAAGATAAAGTGAAATAAAATAAAATAAAATAAAAAGGAAACCAAGAAAGCAAGACAAGCTTGATACTCAACCACATTTAATTCACACAGAAATCGACACCGACAAGTATGGCCAACGGACATAAAGAAAAATTTGTTGGACATTCAGACACTGATATATCGCTTATAGACAGAACAAATACAGCGATGGGGAAGGGTAAGAGGGGACAAGGAAACAGAAAGACGAATTGTTATTGTGTTCAGGAAATACGTTTTTTAAGCAAATGAGTGTTAGCTGGATCATTTTTTTTTTTCAAATGCTAAACACTTTTTGTTGTCTTTTATTCCGTCTTATTTTATTTTTATTATTAGTATTACTACTATTTATTTATTTATTTGTGCTGTGTAGTGTATATATGTATGTTTTTTTTTTTCATTTTATTTTCTTCTGCTCGTTTTTCGTTTTCTTTTCTGTCATTTTGATATGGTTCATTATTTAAAGGTAAAAAAAGGAACACCAAAAAGGGACAGAATATTCAGCAGCAAATTGTCGGGTAAATTCTGGATTTTTTAGTGGAGTTTTTTTGCTGATTACAGCGTTGTCTGTGGAATGACAGAAATCAGAGGTGCCTTTTCTCTGCCTAAACAGTCTGCGGTACATCAGCTATTCTTTCAAGATATGCGCAGGATATGGATTGCAATTCTGTTTGATTACTGTCGGTGTCTTCTGCTTTTTCGTTATTCCTTTTATGGTATTGTACGGGAACAAGGTTGTTTCTGTGGGTGTGGCGAAAAGAGGAAGTCATGAACAGGGGACGTTAGTTTCCAGGAATTTTCGCTCTTCGCTTTTCTATTTTTCCTTCCTCAAAATAACAGTTTTTTAACTTCTATTTTATGGTCGTGCTGTTTGCACGCTTTCCTTTCTTCTTCTTTTTTCTTTTCATTATTCAGACATTTTTGATGCTTTTCTTTCTTCCTTTTCTTCATTTATTGGTTTGCTGATTGACTTATATACCAAAAAGAATGAAGAAAAAAATCTAGATATGTGGACGTTGAAAATGCCAGTGAAACCGTTGCAAGTCATGATTTGGTGGTTTTTTTTTCAGTTCAGTTTCCGTTCTCATTTCTAATTTTTGTCTTTTTACCTTCTCTTCGTCATCTCTATTATCAGTATAATCAATACCACCCTCTTTGCATGCATGTTTAGTCTCATCAAGAAATTACAAATTTGAACATTTGGTTAGTGATAAAGGAAAAAAGGAAGGAACTGTTTCAGATTTCATGGTTATATAAAGTTTTTAAATTAAATCATAAAAGGTTGGATAATTGCACGAATCTGTAGCAGGAGGAACATCTTGGAACAGTTTGAAAATTTTATTACAAAGTTAGGAGAACAGGAGATCAAAAAAAAAAAAGACTGGAAGGTGGTTAGGAGTAAATGGGGCTAAATTTTCCTCTTCTATTTCTTCTCTTCCTTCGACCAAAACGGTTTCACCTATCGGCAAAAAAGAGTCGTTGATGATGGTAAATGATTACGCCTTTTTTTGGCCACGTCATTTGTACTCCAAACTTTACCATAGTGTATCTAAAAAAAAAAAACAAATTTTTTTTTCTTTTTGGTAACGCTTTAAAAACCTGTTTGTTTGATGACAGTGTTGATAGTTATTGAAGTGATTTTCGTAACGTTTCTCACAGAGATACCAACAGCAACAACAGTAGCAACAGCATCCTCTATTGAAAATGATGCAGGTATCTTTTCAACGCATATATAAGACTACAGCAACAAAAACGATTTATACTTTGTTTCGAAAAACTGCGACGTTTTACACTCATCTGCGAATATATAATAAATTAGTGCTTTCACTTGCCTTTTTCCGTTTTTTTCTTTTGCATTTTACATTTACTGTTGATGGATTGGATCAGAGTTTGCTGATGAAAAACCACGAAAATAATTTGACAAAGAAAAGAAAAAGAAAAGAAGACGATGATGACGTTAACGATGGCAGCTATAGTAAGAAGCATAGTATTTATGTAAGCTATCTGAACAGCACGGAAGTGGAGTTAAGAGAGAGGTGAAAAGGAATGATGGTAGAATTTGGAATGAAAGGGAAGGAAAAGAAATGAACGAAAGCAGGTTAAGCGTTTAATGGAGAATTACTGTATAAAATAAGAATTTTCTCTTTTCCAAATTCCTAAAAATTTTTTAATGTTGTAAAAAAGGCGAAGGGAGAGAAGTACGGTGAGAGAAAAGGGTATTGAAGATAAAAGATGGGAAATCAATGAGTTAAAAAAAAAAAAGAAAGACGAAGAAAAAGGACAAGGAGAAGAAGGATGGATCTACGTGCGTATGTTTTAGGAATAAGAGAAAGCTTTTATTGGCTGTAGCCTAAGAGGCACTAATGGTTTATGTTATTGGTCGTCTGTTACATAGCATTATTTGTTTCAAATAGGAAAAAAAGCGATTTATTTGGAAGGTTTTGATTGAGCTAAAATTATGGACGTTATATGCACTATATTTTGTGTTCGTTCATTCTGTTAAAGAATGTCTTTCTGTGCTTTTTTTTTTGTTTAAATTTGTTCTATTCTTTTGCAACGGTACTTTTTTTGTTGGTGCTTCTCTCGTTGCTGATATTTTGTGTTTAATGGCGACCATTGATTGAATACCAAACTAGAATGAAACGAAGTTTACGATTTACTGAACACCTTTAATTTCTTGTCAGTATCATCATCGTTATTATTTTGTTGCAGAATTAGTTATTATCATGTATGACGAGAATAGTAATACAACGATATCAGCGTTAGGCACGAGTACATCATCGTCTGGAATCATGAATCAGATTCTCAATGTCAATGTCAAAGATTCTCGGTGGCTTCAACTAGAGGTATGTCGAGAATTTCAGCGTGGCCAGTGTTCGCGATCTGATGAGGAGTGTAAATTTGCACATCCACCGCCACACGTTGACGTTCAAAATGGTCGAGTTACTGCCTGCTATGATTCTATTAAGGTTTGCTTTCTGGTTTCCTCTTCTTCCTCATTCATCTCCAAATTTATGATTTCTCGATTTTTTTCTTACCGTTTTCTTACTAAAAATCTGCTTTTGTTTTTCTATTCTATTTCTTCTTGGTATTTTTTGATTATCTCTTTGTCTTTCTTGACAAAGCCACTTATTAGTGCTGAATTTATTGTTTCTAACTTGAATACAGTGCTTTTCAACCACAAAGCATAAGCGTAATGCAACAACTTTTTAATTCCTACATTTACCAGTTTAAGTTCCCTAAATGTTTACAGTAATTGTCATTATTAAGATGTAACGTTTGTTTACTGTCAGCGAAAGTTAGTTAACAGTTCGGCTTAAAAAAGGAAAATATGGAAAGAGACAACAGAAAAAACTATAAAAAATTGCTATGAAACAGTTTTAACAGAATCGTGTGAGTTGTAAAGCAAACGGGAAGGGCCTTTTGTAGCACCATTTGACGTAGTTTGTTGCTGTTTTTGGTTGAATCCGACATAGATTTTTCATATTAATTTTTTTTCTGTTTTTCTATTCTAAAACCGCTTTTGATCTGTAACCATAAAGTTTCATTATTGTTTGTTTGGGGATATGAGTTGTGTAGCGAAACTACAGAGTACATAATATGCATTTTCGGTTAAGCAGAAACAAGAAGATTATAAAATTTGAAAAGATTTATCTTGATGCATATCTGGAAGCACTTTTTCCTAGAAATTCGAATTATGAGCTTCTAGAAGGAGATTTTTCTCTTGCCGTTTTTGCTAAAACTATTTTAGCACTGAGTGAATTGATATTGATTACCGTTTTGCATCTCAATTTTTATGTTGTTTTTAGTGTCTTAATCATATAACTAATAGTGCCTTCTTATTGTTATTTAGTATAACTCATCTCTTCTTCGTTAAAAACAAAAAATGTGGAAATTCTTTTTGTGGATATAGAAGAACATTTTTTTTGTGGTTGTTGTCAGATTGTCATTTTATTTCTAAAGAAAACAATCAACCAAAAAAAAGTTGCAAGGTCATCATAGAGGATTTTTGTTATTGGGATGGATGTGAGCGCAGTTACTGTCTCATTTTTAAGGTTTTTTCCCTTTTTTCTTTTCCTTTTTTTTTTCTTTTTTTTTTGATTTCGTTTGGTGAGAGCAAATTTGGAACAGTTTGAAGCAAATATAAGTTAAAAAAATTGGACGAAGAAGAGTGGATTAGTCTTACTTGCCAAAATTTTTAGTAATGCTATCGATCATTTGGCAAATGTATGCCAACAGAGCAGGGAGGAGATGGAGAAAATAGGGACGGAAATATGCATTGAGAAGCAAGTTATTTTTTGGACAATTTTTTTTGTAAACTGTCACTGATATTCTGTTTTATTTTTGTTTTTGTTTGATTTTTTGGCATAGAGGATGAGAGGAGGGAAGGGATGGAGGCAGCGGGAAGGGGATAACAGGAAAGATTTCAATCTTAAATTGTTTGATAGCAAAAAACTCTTACAGTTGGAACAGTTAGGCAAGGAGTCAATTGTTTTTGCACCTTCGTTTTTTATTTTCGTTTTTTATAAAGGATTTTGATTTATAAACGGCATGCACACTGTAAAATTGTGAAAAAATTGCTAAGAATTTGCTCATCTTTATTGTTTATGAAGTAAACGTAGAAAAAAATGTAACTAAAAATTTTAATCTATTTTCAATTACGTTAAAATTTTTGCTTTGTTTGATCTGATTCTATGTCGATCAAAAAATGAAGTGGGGAAAGATTGTAAGTATATCTAAATAGGTGTTTAGTACGCTTTTTAATTGCGTCTTTGCCTTTTATATCATTTTTTTCAAGTAGTGCGTATTTTTTTACATTGCCACAGAGTCAAAAGTAAAAAAAGAGGAGTGAAGGATCGAAGTGTGTTATGATTTTCTGTTATTTAGGTTGATAGGACTGAAGAACTAGTCAAAAGGAAGAAACATTTATTTATTTTATTTTGTTAAAAATCTTTCTTCTTATTTCTTTAGATTTTAGAAAAGTGAGCTTTTTGACGGAATATACAAGTCATTCTGACCGCTATGGTAGTGATAATAATGAAGTTGATGTTCAATTTGATTGGCGCTAATGATAGTGGTAGCTTATATGCTGCAGTCGACGAAACTAATCTAACTGAAGTTATTGTTGCTGCTGCTGTATCTGATGTAACAACTTCTCATTGCTCGCGACTAGTGACTTGGTTCAGTAAGGGTTGCTATTGGCACATCTGTAACCGATCAGATCGAACTTATTAGTTTACCGAACAGCAGTGTACATGGGGATGATGAGTCTGCTAGACTTTTCTTTGTGGTAAAAGAGCATTAATGGTTGCGATCTTATTAGAGGAAAGGTTCTTATGTTTTTAGTTGCTTTTGAAAGGAACTGGCGAGCATTGAGTAGGAAGGGAATAGGCTCGTTCTGCTTGCTTTCGCAGTTTTATCAGGAGATCATATTTTTGGGCAATGGTATTTTTGAAGGGAATATCAAACGGAAAACCATTGACAGCTCAGTAGCTGGAGTGAAATCTTTATTACAAAGACAAAATGGAGTTTGGGTATATTTGAAGAATTAAAGATGAAGAAACAAAAAGAAAACAACTAGTGGATTCATTTTTCGTCGACAAGGAATTTTGCTCTTTTTTAGGCGTAATTTTCAAAGACTATTGTCATAAAATTTCTGTTTTTGGTCAAGCATCAGTATGTCGTTTAGACAAATCAGAAAAGTCAGCTAGGTTGCATTAAGCAGCAGCCACTGATAGTGTTCATTCAATAGCCTAATATTTCTTGTTCTGAAAAGAAGAGAGGACTTTTATTTGTAGAAACTGTGAACCTTTTTGTTCCGCTCTCCTTGTTACATCATTGACAGTTTGGTGACTTTATAAAAATAACATTAAAAAAGGTAGTCCAAGTTGTTGGACTTACTTTAGTTTAACGGAGACAACAGCAGCGGTGACAACAATAGCAAATTTAATCATAATTCATGTAATTTTTTCTTGTATCACCACATATCGTTGGTGAAGTCATCACTGAACAGAATCTAAGATTGTTGTTTGCACGCAGACAAACAGTAGCACAAAATTCTACTGAAGCAGTAGCAGATTTTTAGCCAGATCAATCAACCATTGCCACACGATAGACTGATAGACGTATAGTTGGAAAGAAGGATAGATAGATAAATAACCAGATATTACTGGCTAGTTAGTTAGATGGATTGGCTAGATAAACGAATGCTAAAGAGTTATTTATGACGAGAACAAGTTTTTTCCTGGTAATAGTGTTTTAAACTGAAAGAATGGGGAGTAAAAAAAGCAGAATAAATTTCAGAATGAAATCAGCTTCAGTCATTTCTTTATCCTGCTTGTTAATATTAAGGCAAGAGCGGTACAGGAAAATAGATATATTGTTGTCTAACAGTGACTCGTTGATACTTTTTTTTGTTATTTTTTTTCGTGAGCAAGCAAAAGTTTAGTTTTTTTTGTGTTTATGAAAC